GTACACGCCTATAATCCCAGCACCCTGGGTTACAAAAAAAAAAAAAAAAAAAAAAAGACTAAAAAAGGGGGTGGTATGGGGATATTAAGCACTTGGTTAAGCTGTTCTCAGATTCCCGAGTCATAAACATTATGGTATAGTAAAAGGTGACTATCCCTTGTTTGTAATCCCAGCATTCTGGAGGCTGGGGCAATAGGATCAGGGGTTTGAGGTCAGCCTAGGCTACACAGCGAGAGCTTTATTGTCTCTAACTGCTACATTCTAGAGATGATTTTTAATGTAGAAATAGATCCCTAATATACAGATGGATTTAACAGTTTTTTTGTACGTTTATGCAAAAATTCAAATGAACAGCTTTCACTTTTCCTTTGTGGCAGCATTGTAAGGGATCACTTGTCTCTGCTTTGTTTGGTGGCCTGGGACAAAGGTCAGGAAGAGGTAACCATCTGCATGGGTCTGATTGCCCATTCTTGAGAAGCTGGTGTGAAGTCCCCTGGGGCCAAAGACATGAACAAAGAGACAGCATGGGGCAGGAAGGGGGTGCTGGGGAAGAGGCCCTCAGAATTTGGAGGATATGGTTTCTGTCAACTCTCTTGGCCTCACTAATGGTGCTAATATGAATTGCTAAGACATTTTCAAATATTTGAAGGACATAGATCGTCAGTAAATCAGTGATTTGGTGAACTGTCATTTGGCAAGTTGATCTTTTGACCAAATGACTTTTGGCCAGCGTGCATCTGACAACGTAAGTTACAGTGAATTAGTGTGCTCCTTACCAAGTGACACATTATGATGTTTATGTCCCTAAGGCAATGATTAATGGTTTATTTATAAAAGATACTAACAACTTTATTGGGTCCGTTTCTTTCTTTCTTTCTTTCTTTCTTTCTTTCTTTCTTTCTTTCTTTCCTTCCTTCCTTCCTTCCTTCCTTCTTTCTTTCTTTCTTTCTTTCTTTCTTTCTTTCCCTTTTCCTTCCTTCCTTTCTTTTTTGTATTGCTTAGGGAACAGGCCACTACTGAGTCATTAATTTCATTTATTTATTTATTTATGGCACTGAAGAGATGGCTCAGCTGTTAAGAGAGTACTGGCTGATTTTCTAGAAGACCCGGGTTCAATTCACAGCATCTACATGGCAACTAACAACCATCTGTAACTCCAGAACCAGGAGAATCCAATGCCCTCTTCTGGCTTCCACAGGTAGCAGACATACATGCAGGCAAGACACCCATCTCCATAAAATAATAATTATTCTTACATTTAAGTAGGTGTGTGACACTTGCCTTTAATCTCAGCACTTGAGAAGCAAAGACAGACAGACTGTGTGAGTTTCAGGCCAGTAGGACTACACAGTGAGACACTATGTCTCCTAAAGTAAAATAAAATGAAATTAAAAGAAATATTGCTGGGTAGTGGTGGCACACACCTTTGATCTCAGCAAGGGGGAGGCAGAGGCAGGCAGATCTCTGAGCTTGAGGCCAGCCTGGTCTACAGAGAGAGTTTCAGGGCAGCCAGGGCTACACAGAGAAACCCTGTCACAAACAACAAAAAAATTGTTTCAATTTAGTGTGTGTGTGTGTGTGTGTTTGTATGCATTTGCACATGCCACAGTGCTCCTGTGGAGGTCACAAGACATCTTGTGGGAGTCAGTTCTTTTTTTCCACATGCATCCTGGGGTTTTAGCTCAGGCTGACAAGCTTGGAGCCATGTGCCTTTACTCACGAGCCATTCCACCAGCTCTGGGTTTTGGAGACAGGGGCTCACTATTTAGCTCAGGAGGCTGGCCTCAAGCTTGTGGGCCTTGGCCACTCTAGGGAAGGGACGCAATGAATGGCTGCTTTTGTCCCTTTAAACTGCTAGTTCTGATAAGTCCCCCGCTTGCCACCAATTCCTGGAATAGCAATCCTTCCTGACAGGAAAGTGTCATTTCTCATTTCAGAGCAGTTATAAATGGAGATAAATTCCAGGCAGGACCACTTTGGAGAAGTCCTCTGTTAGTTCTGGTTTTGGCTCAGCTTAAATGGGATGATCATTAAGAGAAATTCTCAAGTCTGCAGTGTGATACAAAGCCCTGGGCTGTTGGTGAGCACAGGCCTTGGCACCCTCCCTCCGTTGTTTCTCCTCCTGGGTAAAGGGGACAGGAGCAGGTGCCAGGAGCTCCTGGAGAGGCTAAAGAAGGCGGGGACCAGCGCTGTTATCCCTCCCATCCTCCAGGGGCACCCACACTCAAACCTTGCACTCTTCTGAAAACTGCATTAACGTACTGAGAAACCAGGGGCTGCTGGGATGGCTCAGCAGTTGAGAGCTTTTGTTGCTCTTACAGAAAACTGGAATTCAGCTCCAGCCTCCACATTGGCTGGATAACAGTTGCCTGTAACTGCAGCCCCAGGGGACCCACTGTCTTCTTGTGGTCTCTGTGGGCAGCACCCACAGGAAGGAGCTTACATGTGCCTCCCCTAAACTTTATTTTATTTTTAAAAAGATTATTTATTTAATGTATGAATGCTTTATCTGCATATATAGCTGTGTGCCAGAGAGGGTATTAGATCCCATTACAGATGGTTGTGAGCCACCATGTGGTTGCTGAGAATTGAACTCAGGACCTCTGGAAGAACAGTCACTGCTCTTAACCACTGAGCAATTTCTCCAGCCCTTATTTTATTTTTTAAATTGAGCAACTGAACAAGAAAGGGGAGAGGAGCCTATTCTATCTGCCCATAGAGTGCTTACCCACTCTACTGCTCAGATGCAGCACCTGCTTCTGTAGTGGTTTTAAGAACTGGCCACAATATTATTTGGTCTTCTTCTCATTGAGATGTGGCAACTGTGTGGTCCTGTGAATTCTTTATTATTATTATTATTATTATTATTATTATTATTATTATTTTGTTTGTTTTTGAGTCAGGATTTCTCTGTGTAGCCCTGGCTGTCCTGGAATTTGTTTTTTAGACAAGGCTAGCCTTGAACTCAGAGATCCTGCCTCTGCCTCCTGAGTGCTGGGATTAAAGATGTACATGGCCACTCTGTTGGGTCCCGTGAATTCTAACAGGACACAGTGTGTGCTATTTAGGAGGTGTGGTCACAGAAGGCCATGCAGCTTCTCACTGGGTGTTGTTGGATGTCCCCTTTTTGGGACCCAGCCACCAAGCTATGAGAAGCCAAGTGTCCACACAGCAGCCACGCAGTTGATGGTCCTGGCTGAGTCCTACCTCCAAATACTTCAGCTCCTTGTATTAGCCCCAAGACCTAGACTTTCTTCAGATATAAAAATTAAGTAGAGTGGGCTAAAAAAGTCTTAGAAATTAGAATAACTATAATTTTAAAACAATATTTGCAAAAATGAAAATTAAAGAAAAAGCCATTCATGATGAATAATATATCTAAATTATTCAGTGTATCTAGAAACTATCAATCTTGGCTTCCTCCTCCCAGATGTTTGCAGCCTGTTCCCCTGGGGAGAGTCCTACAGCCTCCTTTTCAGCTGTGCACAGTACACTTGCCTCCTGGAATCAATAATGTATGAAATAATCTCTGTGGCTGGCATTCTCTCTTAGAGTGCTCTTCCGTGTGTGTGTGTGTGTGTGTGTGTGTGTGTGTGTGTGTGTGTGTTCCCATCTGTCTGTCTGATCTTTCTTCATTCTCTCATTGCCTAAGTTGGTTTTCTAGGACCCAGCCACTGAGGTCACAGCAGTGGAATGTGCTCACAATTCCAGGGTAGGGAGGTAGACTTGAGAGAATCACGAGTTCAAGACAACACTTGGCCTGCTGTGGTGCTGCATGCCTGTAATCCCAGTACTTGGGAAACTGCTGGAGGACAGAGTTCAAGACCAGCCTAGACTGCCTGAGAAACACAGGCTCAAAAGGAAAGAAAAGAAAGAAACCCTAACCCCACATCCAGCCTTCCTTCCCTCAAGCCAGCTGACAACTGACCTATAGAAGTTCAATAAATGAATGACTCAGCAGATGAAAATGTATGGATAACATCAGTGTCCAAATTAGTTAGTTAGTTAGTTTGGTTGGTTTTGTTTTTTGTTTGTTTTGTTGTGTTTTGTTTGTTTGTTTGTTTGTTTTTACAAGAAAGACAATGTTGTGAGGTTTGGTCTGCTGCTATGTATTTTCATAATGTTAAATACTGGCCCTGGTTGTCTCAGGGACAAGAGAATCCTCGGTCTACACCAAGTGATGCTATGTGACCTTGTTCCTTATGTAAAACTACTGGTTGGACTATATAGGTGGACAGAAGGGAGGTAGGCAGGGTTTCAGGTCCCAGGCTTGGTGTCTGAGGCAGGAGACCATGTGTAGGGAGGAGTAGATGCCATGGGGTAGGTGAATCACCAAATCATGGCCATGAAGGCTGGCCGATTAGAGTTAAGAGCAGCTCAGATGTAACACTGCTAGTTATAGCTCAGGGTTATTGATTGGGGAACAGATTCTAATAGCTTAGAGGGTAGATATCTGCCCAGTTCTAGTGCTTCAAAGGCTTATCATAAATATAAAGGTTTTGTGTATTTTATCTGGAAACTGTATGATCAATGGCAGGGTAGAGACCCTCAGCTGACTAAACATTTACTACAAGACAGTTCCTATGAAGCTCAGGCTGGCTAATTTGCGATTCTCCTGTCTCGACCTCCTGACTGCTGAGGATAGATGTGTGTATCACCATGCTAGGCTTCCTTTTCCGTTTGCCCAGTGCTTGAAGTCCGACCCAGGCCTGCACACACTGGCTGATCATCCTGTCACAGAGTCACCACCGTAGCTTAGTCAGAGGCTTCAGTGCAAACTCAAGAAGCATATGAGGGGGCGCTTTGGACTTAGCTGGCTCTAACCTCTGCTCAAATGAAATGTGACCATTTTCTGAGGCACTTGCTGACTGATACTAAACTGGTCTCTTCCCTCTGGCAAGGTTATTTTGGATACTCAGCAACAGGCTCTTGGTGAATGAAGGGAGACTTTGGAGAGCTGCCTCTCGCTGCCACCTTTGGTGACCTGGAGGCCTCCCTACCTTCATACTGGACCTCCAGGTGCATTGTGCTCAGGACCCCCAGTACACAGTCCACGATGCTAGGGTGTGTCGCTCCAACGATTGACTGGCAAGACAGACAAGAGCACAAGTGTGTTGACTCTTTAGGCCTACAGGAAGCAAAAGGAGGACCCCCTAAACAGCCAGGCTTGGGATGATTTGACTCTGTACTCATTAAACCAAGTCTCCTGGCTGCCATTGAGACAGGAAGGACTAAGGTCTGTGACTATGGCTTGGGGAGGGAGGACACAGGGGGAAAAAAGTACTCATTCCTGATCCTAAATCTTCTCTCTCTGAAATCTCACCTTTTGGTTAGCCTGTCTTTTACCTCTTCAGACTTTACCTATACCACTCTACCAGCTAGTGAGAGGACAGAGCCATGCAAACAAGGGTCTACCAAAGTGCCCACTGTAGGGACTGCAGGGACTGCAGGGATCCTCAGGTCTGACCGTGGCCTCCTGCTGGCTTGGCTCAGCTCTAGGGGTGTCCCTTCTGCTTTCCTCCTGACATAGTGAGTCCTGTCTGGGGAGTTTCATTTACTTCAGCGTCACTTGTTAGTTATCTGTGTGTGAAATCCAAGCTGACATCTTCATCCTCGCCCTTTCTCTGGAGCTCTGGCCTTTTACTTTCTGTAGCCCAGTGGTTTCTCCAGCAGCTCTGGGCAGTGGTTCTTAAACTGAGCTAAGAATCAGGACCCCTTGGGAATTGAAAAGGCCAAAGCGTTACCGTGGGCCACTAGGGATCCACTGTGGCTGAGTCTGAACCCAAGTCCTCCCAGAGCCACCTGACTTTATCCGTTCTTGGTGCTGTACAACTCACCCTGTTGGCAAAGCTCAAGCTAGATGGCATTTTTGACGTCTATCCTTGATTCTGCATCTGTCTCAGGAATGACTACCCATTTCGGTCACATCTGCACCCACTTCCATTGCCACCATTCAGGCTATTTTGTCCTCTCCCCCCTCCCCCAGCCCATCCTCTGGGGCCCTTGTGAGAGTTCCAACAATTTATGCCAAAGCCACATTTGTTCCCCTCCTTACTAGGCATGATGCCACAATGCCTCCCAAATTTGACCTCACTCACATTCTAGGGCAGAAGCCAAGAAGGAGGGAAAAAAAGCTTTTTCAATCAGTGAGATCTGGCCTCTTCACTTACACGCTGCCTACAGAAGCCCTGTGCTTCTCCTCCTGTCAAATGGATGCCTTTAATCTTTCTCACAGTTCCCTTGTTATCCCTGTTGCTTGTCTCTACCACTTTGAAGTCTGCCAATATTTTTCTGATCCTTAAACAAACAGGATAAATCACTCTGCTGGGAGACATGAACTCTATGTCCCGCCTTGGCCTTCGGAAGTGCCGCTGATTGGCGGTGGAGGAGTGCTGCTGGGAAAGGTTAAGACTGCACGAGGATCACAACTCCAGAGCATAGCTGTGGCTCACCTGGGCAATCTTGAGAGTCTGCAGGGCCAGTTGCTGGGCTTTGGGGGACCCACAGGGCAGCAGAGCTATTAGGCCTTTGTATACTTGGTTCTGGTACTTGGGGTTGCCGTGGACCAAAGCATCCAGCAGAACCTGCACTTCCTCCTGGGTCTCTTCTGATTTAGACTTTGCCAGAAATTCTGCTATGGCTCTCACACCTAGGCAAGGAGAGAAAATGCTAAATTGGACAAGATTTAGGTTTAAAACGATTCCCACTCAAGAATGCTTGACGGGGTTGCTTTAAGCTTGTTTAACCAAAGCACAATTTTGTGTGTGTGTGTGTGTGTGTGTGTGTGTGTGTGTGTGTGTGTGTGTATCGGGGGCATAGGAAGTCTTTCTCACCAGACTGTAACCTTTTAAAATGTATTTTTAAAAATTTTAGACAGTCTTATTATGTATTCCTGGCTGTCCTGGAACTCACCATGTAGATCAGGCTGACCTCAAACTCAGAGATCTGTTGTCTCTCTCCTAAGTGTTGGATTAAAGGTACTGGGTGAGTGCTGGGATAGAACCTAGCTCCTCAGAAAGAGCAGCAAGTGCTGTTTACCACCTCTCCAGCTCAAGCTGTATTTGGTTATTTACTTTTGGTTTTTTGAGATGGGGTCTCTTATGTATCCCTAGCTGTCCTACAACTCCTATGTAGACCAGGCTGACTTTGAACTCACAGAGCTTGCCCCTTTCCTCTGTCCCTCCAGTGACATGTCTCACCATCCCTGGAAAGATTTATTTTTTTAATTTTATATGTATGGGTATTTACTTACATGTATATACATTACAAGTGCACTTGGTGTCCACTAAGACCAGAGGGACTGTTGGATCTCCTGGAATTGGAATTCCAATTGTGAGCCACCGTGTGGGTTCTGGGAATGGAACCAGAGCCATCTGCAAGACCAGTCAATGCTGAGCCATCTCCAGTCCCTTGGCAGTCAATCATTTTATCTCAGTTTTGTTGCTAACATTAGTCATAATGATTTTACATAGGACTTTAGGTAATAGCTAATAAAAGCTTGTTATATGTGTGTGGAAAAGGATACATTTAAAATGGAGGGTCAAAGGGTGGGCATGGTGGCACACACCTTTAACCCCAGCACTTGGAAAGCAGAGGCAGGTGGATCTCTGAGCTTGAGGCCAGTCTGGTCTATAGAGAGTGTTCCAGTTCCAGGACAGCCAAAGCTCCATAGAGAAAAGGCACACACACACACACACACACACACACACACACACACACACGAGGACTGTGGATGTGGTTTGGTTGGTAGAATACTTGCTTAGCATTCGCCACACCCTGGGATTGATGCTCAACACTGAACAAACCAAGTGTGGTGTTGAGTTTCTAATCCTAGCTCTCAGGAGCTGGAGGCAAGATCAGAAGTTCAAGGCCAACCTGGATTACTGTGGTGGATTTAATGAGATGCTCTCCACAAGGCTCCGACATTTCAGCATTTGGCCTCTACTTGTTTGGAGGATGATTAATGAGGTGTGGCAATAGCTAATAAATAAAACCAACTCCTTGCTAGACATGTGTCACTGAGATACACCATAAATCTGGTTTTGAGGGTTCAAAAGACTGGCCATTTCAAATTAGGTCTATCTGCTTTCTGTTTATGGCTTAAGATATGAGTTCTGCTGCTACAGCCAACACATCTGTTGCTTGCAGCCACCTTGCCCACCATGATGGACTTGTAGCCCTCAGGAACTATAAGCCCAAAACAAAGCCTCCTTCTCTGAGTTGCCTTGGTCACGGCTGTGATAAACAGCAACAGACAAGTAACTAAGACACTACACAGATAGTATGAGTCCGGTCTGGGATCCATGAGCCAGAGAGATGGCTCAGTGGTTAAGAGTGCTTGGTACATAATCCTGAGGACCTGAGTTCACATCCCGGCACTGAGATGCGAGCCAAGCACCCTTATGACATGCTGGGTATCCTTCATATGTCTGTAACCCCAGTTCCAAGGTGGGTGGAGACAGGGGGATTTCTGGGGCTTGGCAGCTTCTAGCCTAGCCAAGAAAACTCAATCCCCAGTTTTAGGGGGAAACCTGCTTAAAAGAGAGGAGAGTGAAAGGGGGGCATCCAGCCCCCTCTTCTGGTCTCTGCAATGCATTCACACACAGACACATACATGCACCCCATAATAAGTAAACTAAAAGAGAGATATTTCTGAAACTATCTTTCTTTGAGTAAATAACAGGGAAGTCATAAATCTGGTCTTGTGGTTGTGATGTGGACAGAGCATCTGACCAAGGGATATGTCCACAGAGGGATATGTCAACCCAGGGATATGTCCACCCAGGGATATGTCCACTGAGGGGGTGTGTCCACCCAGGGA